GACAGCCTTGGAGACCCTGTGGTGCAGTTCCACTCTGTCCTCTAGGGGCGCTGTGGGTCAGAATCCCCTCCAGGCACTGGGTTTGGTTTGGGCTTTGCTTCTGTGAAGGTAGGAGCTCTGGTGGCGCAGTGCCTAAGGCACTTGACTGCTAACCAGAAGGTTGAAGGCTCAAACCCACCTGCCACTCCTCGGAAGGAAGATGGGGCAATCTACTTCTGCAAAGATTCACTGCCTTGGAAACCCAGTGGGGGTTGCGATGAGCAGGAATCAACTTAATGACAGTGAGTTTTTGGTGCTTCTTAATTTAATACATACATTTCACTAATCGGGAACTCTGTTATGAGCACGGGGCCCACCTTCATCAGTTCTGAGTCTAAACAGAGAACTCAGGTTCAGAACACGGTCTCTGAAACAAAGATGTTCACACTGTGGGGTGGGAAAAGGTGTACAGACCTACAGGGCCAGGGGCCAGGGAAGGTGGTCCTCACCATCTTTCCAGATCTCGGCCGTCAGCCGGTCTGTGCTTTGGTGAAGCAGGGCTGCAACGTTGTCATTCAGAGGGTCCATGTTCTTCATCAGCCACTCGTTCGCCTTGTAGTCCACCTGAGTGAGGTCAGGACGAGGAGGCTGTAAGTCCTGGCGGGCAGCCCTCACCAAGGGCGGAGGACGTTGGTGCCACCTTGTGTCCACATCCTGAACTGCACCCTCCCCCAGCACGGCCCCTCTCCCTTTGCTTCCCCTATGTGGCCTCTGTCTCCCGATTCTACGGCCCTGTCAGCCACCACCTTCTGCTTTATTCATCCTGTTTCAGCCACACTGGCCTCCTCACTGTCCCTCAAACATGCCACCTCCTCCCCCCACCTCAGGGTTTTCATCCTTCTACACACTCATGGTCTTCACTGTAACTCTCCAGACAAGTTTTCCCACCAGCCAAGGGCTCCACTGAGGGCAGGGCCCAGGTCTGACCCATTGCCCAGCACAGTGGGGCACACGGGGGGTCTTACCAACTACCTGGGAGTTGATCTAACTGCTAGACACAGAACGCATGTGGTCATCTGCCTCCTAGCCTTTGCACATGCTATTCCCTCTGCCTGGAACACCCTTCCACCTCTTCCTGTAATCAGGTTTCACCACGGCACAGCCTGGTTGTGAATTTATGTATTATTCGTGGTCGCTTTCCTGCTACGATGGCAAAACTGAGCAGTTGAAGACAGCAGCAGAAGCCTTGTGGCCCAAAGAGCCAAAAAATCTACCACTTGGCCCTTCACAGAAATATCTGCCAGCCTCGCTTTCCTTGCCCCTGTGAAGCCTTCCTCGGCATTCCTCCTCTAGGCTCCGATACTGACCTTACTGGCCCCATTAAAGCCAATCACCCTCACACCCTGATGGTCTGCATTTCTTTTCCTCCCAGATAAGGAACTATGTCAGAGTGGAGGCTGTATTTGAATTGTGTCCTCAGTTTGCTGAGTGCAGGACCAGGCACACGAGGCCTCTGCACATGGTTACCAAATGAATGAATTAAAATACATACTTTGCTGCTCTTGGTGAACTCCTACTCATCCTTCAAAACCCACTGCAAATAACCCCTTTCCTTAAGGAACCCTTTGCTGACTTCATCAAGCAGAGTCCTTGCTCCTCCTTGGGATGTGGCCCCTGCCTTGTCAGTGTCTGGACCCAGTAGCTATCAGGTGACCTTGATTTGCTTCTACACCCTCCCCACATCAAGACCACTTGATCCTCAGTCCCGTCCACATGACCCGAGGCTGCCCTTGACCTCCTACCTTGCCTGCGTAGTGCAAGACGCTGAAGTCAGCTTGGTCCCTCAGTTGCCGCGGCCGCTGGAACTTGGGATGGCCACCTTGCTCCTGGGCCACTTTCTCTACAAAGGACTTGTCGGTGGCCTTGGGGAACCAGCACTCCTCGTCCAGCAGGGCCAGGAGTCCGGGGGGATTGGCCTGACCATTGACAGGAAGGGGTGTGTGAGCTAGATTCCCACATACCGGACACCTAGGCTGCTGTTAAAGTTTGCTGCTGGGCATTCTGACCCATACGACAGAGCACCACTGCCCCGTAGGCTTTCTCAGGCGACAGTCTTTATGGGAGCAAACTGCCAGGCCCTGTTCCTGTGAAGCCTCTGGTTGGGTGTGAACCACCAACCTTTTGTTTCACAGCCAAGGGCTTAACCACTGCACCATCAGGCCCTTTTCTGCTAAAGGTGAGCTCTTACGAATTGTGCTTAAAGGCACCTGAACACAGGTGCACAATGGCTAGTTATAGCTTGTGATGATACCAGCAAGTGCTCAGCTGCTACCGGATGGCTGGAGGCTCGAAGCCGCCAGCAGGTCTGCAGGACAAAACCCTGGTGGTCTGTTTCAAGATGACAGCCTTGCAACCCTGGGGGGCAGTTCCACTCTGTCCTCTAGGGGCGCCGTGAGTCAGAATCAACTGCAGGGCAGTGGGTGTGGTTAGGGCTTTGCTTCTGTGAAGATTGACAGCCTTGGAGACCCTGTGGTGCAGTTCCACTCTGTCCTCTAGGGGCGCTGTGAGTCGGAATCCACTAAAGGGCCCGCAACAAGAGCACACAATTAACCCTCTGAATTCAACCAGGCTCTGGAGCAGGCACGTTCCACGACCTGACCTGCAGCGCTGGCTGCACTGCGTTTTCCCCGCCTGACTGCCTAGACGCCGAGGGGCGGGGCGGGACCCAGGCTGCAGAGTGAAGCGGAGGTGGGTCTGGGAGCTAGCAGGCGCACTCACCGGCCGCTCGATGAGGTCGATGCAGGGTTGCAGGTCGAGGCCGAAGTCCAGGAAGGTCCAGGGGATGCCCTCGCGCTGGTACTCCTCCTGCTCCAGCACGAACATGGTGTGGTTGAAGAGCTGCTGCAGCTTCTCGTTGGTATAGTTGATACACAGCTGCTCGAAGGAGTTCAACTGCAGGGGGTGGGACACGTGAGGGGCGGAGCATGTGAGGGGGCGGAGCACACGCGGGGCGGAGGACTGGGGGGGCAGGGCATGTGAGGGGCATGTGAGGGGCGGGACATGTGAGGAGGCGGAGCACATGGGCGGGTGGAGCACGTGAGGGGTGGGGAACATGAGGGGCGGAGCACGTGAAGGG